AACAGGCATTGTGTCCAAAGTGGTTTTTCTCCAAGTGTCCTGTGTAAGTATCTATCCAAATTTGATAGTTGATTGTTTTAATCGACAACTTTCCGCTTTTCTTCGAGCAAATTAATCCTAATTTCCAGTATGCGAGTCCACATATTTTCAAAAAAATGAAATTTTTTACGCCTGTACGTTGCAAGAATTTTCTGTCCAATGTGTTGCAGCCAATAACTTGCTCTATATCATGCTGCATATTGTCAAGTGAAAGAAGCATTATTGTGAGAGCATGGAACAAACTTCTTTGCAATCCTGCGTGCCACGACAGGTGAACTCGCCAAGATTTTGGAGGGCTGCTTGTAAGCCAAAAAAGGCAATTTCTAAATTTGGGAGCTGAGCAGTTATGACGATTTGAAGTATGGTTTACTTAAACAATCTATATATTAATCAATTGATCAACAATCTATAATATATATAAAACTCAAAATTGTGAGTTTGGAGGCTATGTGCGTTATAGAAACGCGCGCTGCTCAACCGATTCAGCTGAAACTTTGCACAGATACGTTTTCGACCCCTGCGCAGATGATAGGCTACTTTTTGCGGCGATTCGTTGGGTCCTTATATCGATTTATTGATTTGTTTACGTTTTTCTAAGGAATGGAAGGCTTATCTTGTGACAAATAAAATGAAGCATTTTAATTTGAATAGTATCTCCGTTAACAAAGCCTTTGAACTGCTGGCAATTGCCACTATCGTGGAACACAGTAGACATCATAAATTTTGTCTCACGTTTTTGCGCAAATAGTTCTTGTCGCTCAAAAAGTCCGCAATACGAAAAAGCAAGCGGCTAACTACAACATACAACTATATTTTTTCGTACGGGACCAAAATTTTCGGAATTTTACTGTGCGCCGCATGCTAAAATTCTGGAAATAATCGTCTCATCTGAAAATTGAGAGGAGAGAACTACTTTAGACCCAGTGTGCTGCATTAATAACATGGTGACCGTGGCACGCATACAATGTAACTTTTCGATAGAATAGATTATTAAGTGTAGCTACTACAGCAATAATGTGCAAAGCATCCTTTATCAGAATGTTCCAAGTTCTTCATTGCATAAATGGCAAATTCCGAATCTTTTCTCATAAATACCACCAAATTGCAGTTGAATGCCTTTGACGCGTCAGTAGTTTACTTACATAGTTCACATGCCCGCATGTGCCGAAAAGGCGTTAAAGGGATGCGAACAGTGGTAAATGCATGAAGAACGCTAGACACAGACTTTTAACGACTTACCGCCTTTGCACCATGTGCATTCCTCCACTCAATTTGCTGACTAATCTTGACGGCCGTCACATTTTAGGTACGAGACATGGGTACTACCGTCGCCTCTTCTTCGCACTTCTCAACCTTGAGGAAACCCTCTCAAGCATGCACACCGCGTACAATCGTCGAGAATATGTGCACAGAGAGCACCTGCCATTCCTCAAAACACGTTTCCTGATTTACGACGAGTACCTTGCACGAAAAGGCCTGCGGCATTTTTGAGTTTTCAAGGCTGCTTTCAAACGACTTTGAAGATCTGTACCAGCGCATCGCCAGGATATCGCAGCATTACCCCATCCATGCAGAGCCTATCACAGGGCGCCAAAGGCTCATGTTATTCCTTAGGTAGACAGCAAAGCTTCTCAGCAACAATGATGCCAATCTACTATTTTGCAGGTTTGTAGCTAGAAGAGGGACCTTTGCTTCATGCACCTTAGATGCGTGCTGCGGGAAGTCTACAATCTCCCGTGTGGTGGCTGAGGTCACCGAAGCAACAATCAGCGGTAATGATCAATTTTTAGCAACAGTTCGCATGGATTGAGGTTCAGAGCCGTAGTAAAAGAAAGCAAAAATTTTTACTATTTTGCATAGAATTTCATTTTGTAGTATGAACCCCCACTTTCTACAAAACTACACGACCTCGCGTTTCCTCGTCTCACACTGGATATGCTGGAAGAGATCGCTAGACTAACACAGGAGTGCTTCAATTATTCCAGAGCGGTTGGATTTATGGATGGCAAACACATTGCCAGTGACGTTATTTCGTATAAAAATTTGCAAAAGAACATGATTGTGAGCAGCTCTCTTGTGAGAGTTGACATTTTAGAAGCCCCCACACTCTGGTAGCAACTTTTAGAATTATAAGAACTATTATTCTATTATACTCCTGGCGCTGTGCGATTGCGACTACCGAGTACTAGCTTACGACATCGGGGCTCCTGGCCGCGCGGGTGATGCCAATGTCTACCGCTCCTCTCCTATAAAGGTGAACATCATGATCACTGAGCATTACGTTAATGAAATCGAGTGCAAAGATGGTTGGATGACAACATCTTTGCTCCAACCCGCTTCCTTGGCAACGTAACACCGGTACAGTATCATATCCTAGTAGATGGAGTTTTCGGTCAAGATTTCCGGCTTATGAGACTCTATAGGGAAGCAGAAGCTAATACCCCGGATAGAAGAAGGTTTAACACTATATTTAACAGGTACGAAGTAACCATTTCCAACCTTCTGTCATATACAATTTTAGGGCGCGCCGTATTTTAGAATCCACCTTTGGGATTCTTGCGTAAAGATTCCAGATAGTTATGCAGCCTATGCATGTCAGCCCGTAAAGAGCGGCCCGCATAGTTATAGCATCGTTGGTTGGTCATATAACAACTTATATGTATCAAACTTGCTCGCTGTTTCCAGGCTTTGCATAATGTCTTGCTGAGACGACGGGATCTATTGCAAGGAGTACATCGATACCCGCACGCGGATGGAGCACTTCAGTCCCTTCGGAAAACAGCGCCTGTAAGGGGTTCGGATGCAGCAAAACTTGCTCGGGGACGGATCACCATGTATTACACAGACAAGTACGGCCCTGCTATTGAATGATCAATCTATTCTTTTAGGGCCGCATGCACTAACATTTCCGCTGGGGAGGGGATCGCAGCTTCAGAAGAAAGCTTCATATCCTGAAGCTCCGGATATCTGGATTTCACGCTGTCTACCTGTCCGTGAGTACTCCCACCATCCTTCACTACGAACATATTGAGCAGAAGCGAGAAGCTGTACAAGCCGCATTTCCCAGCTTTTTGTAGGATCCCCTGATGATCCCTGGGGGACGAACATCTATTCTTCAAAGTCATTTTTCTTTCTCCGAAGTTAACGAAAACCTTCCAAAGTTATACTGAACATCTAACACAACAGTGCTAAGCATGTTGCTGAAGAGAACAAATGAATTTTTGAAAAATCGATTTTTTCGGTATACCCCAAGTTTCGACCTGTGGATCATCGAAAATTTCATGACTTCAAAACATCATTTGTTGTTATCAGCAACATGCTTAGCACTGTTGGGTTAGATAATCTGCACAACTTTGGAAATTTTTCGTTGACTTCGGAGAAAGAAAAATGACTATAAAGAAAAGCGCCGGGGATCATCAGAGATCATACAAAAGCTGGAAAATGCGGTTTGTAGAGCTTCTCGCTCCTGTTCAACATGTTCATAGTGAAGGATAGTAGGAATACTTACGGATAGGTACTCAACGTAAAATCCAAGAATCCGGAGTTTTAAAATATGAAGCTTTCTTTTGAGCTGCGATCCACTCCCCGCGGCCATGTTAGTGCATGCGGCCCTTAGTGTGTATAAATGTTGGCAATGTTTGCATTATGCTTATACTTCAGTGTAGTTACAATCAAAACTTTTCTTGCACCAACACAGCCGCTGCAATATATATACAGAATATCCCAAACGCATGTATATAGTGTTTGATCGTTATTATCTCTCTTCCAGAAAAGTCTTTTGCTTACCTCCAGGCACCGTTTTGTAGAGCAGGCTTCAGCCATGTAGTGTGGATCGAATCACCTAATGCTCTCCAATCCTGTGCATTACGGTCATTGAGAGCCATATTTTTGCTTCAGAAATGAAATCAAATTACATGAAAAATTTACATTGGGCTAATAGAGTTGCTGGCTTTGAATACAAAATCTGCATTTCACCAAAATGTTTTCTGAAAAGCTATGCCATGTATGCATCATGCGCTGTTTTTCGTTGCTCCTGGAAAATGTGATCACACTATTTGAAAAGTTTCAAAGTCTTCTTAAGCAACGAAATCAATGCGCCTGAAATTCTTAATACATATGCTTTTTAATTTTTTTGGATTTAAAAAAAACGCCTTTTAACACTGGCCACATATGCTGGAAGTTCCTACCGTAATTCTACAGTAATGAAAAGTAATCGGTAAGTGCCTCTATAACATATACTATGCTATGAGTGAATTGAAGCCAGCTCTGCAAAACGTGAAGGTAAACAGAAGACTTTTTCGGAAAACAGATATTGACAATCAAACAGTCCGTACATACTTTAGCAACAGTAAAGGGTTTGGGTTTTCATGACAGCCTATGATGACGCAAGCTTTGCCAACTTGAGACCTTCATCGTATATTTCATTCATTTACAAGTTGAATGAGTTCCTTTATACAAAAATTTTATCGTCAATTGATATGACATTTCACTTGTGCAAGTTCACATATACAAATACTAGTAAAAGTATTGTGTTTAAAAACAAAAAGAACATGTGGAAAAATTATAAAAAAACACAAATAGCCAAAAATGAAAAATTAAAAAAAACACACAAACAGGCGGCACGTATAAGTGAAGCGAGAAAAAAATCCAGGCAGTTTATCTTCGATATCTGGAAAGTGTGTTGAAAAACAGGCAATGGATTTTCGAGATCGGAAAGCTTCGAACAATGTCTTTTGAAAAAATCAACAGTCATAATTGTCCTATTTACACATTATAAATTCGCTCTTTACAGCCACCTTCTTCCATTACGCCCACCGTTGCTTCCGCCGCTTTCAAACTCCATTTTTACAGTGCGACCGTAAATTTAACCGTAAACCGCGGCCACAAACTTCTACTTTTTTCTCACGTCCAATGACTTCTAAGCGTCCACCATATCCTACTTCTGCAGCGCGACCACGGATTTAGGCATTCTGGAAAATTTCCATTTCTTTACCACGTCCAACCACTTCTACGAAGCGTCCAGCATATCCTAGTTTTGCGGTACGACCACGGATTCCGCCACTCTCGTTAAAAGTTTTATTATCACGTCCAATGACTTCTCTGAAGCGTCCAGCAAATTCTACTACTACTACAGCGCGACCACGGATTCTGACACCCTGACTAAGAACCTCCACTTTTTTCACCACGTTCAATAACTTCTCCGAAGCGTCCATCAAGTCCCATTGCATTGTGATCATAAGTTTCTCTGCCACGGCTAATAACTTCTCCGCTGTGACACTGTTATTCTACATCACGATCGATGACTTCTTTATTACGGGAGATTTCCTAAACTTCAATATCTGCCGTAAGCACTTTGAAGATAAGTTGCAATCTCTCTTCAGCCACTGCCTTAGGAAGATCGTCCAGTGCCGCTCTGAAAAAATCACCTGCAAAGTCCTCGTCAGCTTAGAAGCAGTTCACAACAACTAACCAAAACGGTTGTACTCGTTATTTGCGGTCTCAGCCTCTTCATTCAGTCAATCAAACATTGCGCCAGTAGCACTTATTACCGCACTCATCCCTGGAATCATTTATTGCGCTGCAAAATTTGTAACCTACAGAGCTCACCATCGCCTGATAGCTTCCTTTTCTTCCTCAAAGAACCACCACTAGGGGCCATGGCAATGCTGGATTTTTGTGAATGTTGATCTGGAAGGTATTGCATTGGATTTAATGCATTTAAGGTGTTCAAAAAAAGTTACTCATGCTTTCGCTGACTACAGAGCTGCTCTCTAACTCGTGATCGCTGTCGCTTTTCAAATTTGAGATACGAATGCTGAAAATGGAGAATGGATGTTTCTTCCATTCCGAACGCTATTTACCTTTCACGGGGGACTGCGTCGTTTTGCAGAAAAGATATTTGTCTCAGCATTGGCTCAGCAGTCTTAGCAGCTGAGCCGCTGTACTTTGCTTTGAGGCGTGAGTATTGCTGCCGCATCCCCTTTCACATTCTTCTCAAATCGGAAAATATGACAGTTTTCATGCCATTAAAATAGCGTGTAGCGCAATTGTGGCCACTTGTGCAACTTACGAGTTTTTGTATATCCTCTTTTTTCATTTTCTCAAAGACCCTGCCCCATGCTGCCATACGCAAATTTTTGAACTTATACTCTTCGTAATATAGGTCCCAAATGGCCCTCTCTTCCTCTATATACAACGCAAGTGTCTCTTGCCACACGTTGGGGTTGTCTGAAGCGAAAACAAATCTAGATGCCTACATCAACGCCACCCAATCTCTTATTTGTTGAGGTTTCTCTGGATCTGCTTGAGCCTCTCATTTGTATTGCTGCATTGCAACAATAAACTGAGAGGAGCAGCCGGAGCTGGCTCAAAGATCTTAGAACAAAATTGGGCAATCAATTTTCATCAATGCGCGATGTCTGCACCAAAAAACAGCCTCAGCCCTATGCGCTCTACTCCAAAATGAGCCAAAAATTAAGCCACATCAGAGATTAGACATGTTGCAACACAAACTAAATAATAAAATGCAATAATAAGGCAATACATGTGAGCGGTAGAACTTACTGAGGAAAGCCATCAATAATCGATCCCCAAATGTGCAGAGACGATGAGAGCTGGTCCTACGGACTGTAAAGGAGGTATTTTGAGGCAAAACACGAACTATATGTTAAACGACAATCCAGCAACTTAACGACAGCAATGAAGGTACTCTACGGCATGAAGAATGAGATTCTCTAAACTTCTTATCCTTGGTGGAGATGAAAAAAAAGCAACGAGCGGATTAGAAGTTGAGTTCAGGTTCCATGTATAGGTATTCACAAAATGTGGAAGTGAGCAATGAAAACGAAGCAGCGGTGATAAGAACGAGAAATGGGGCAAGGCTAATAAGCACAAAATCCCCAACCTTCGTTGTACCGATAACAATTAACATAAGTCCTTGCCCAAGATGAATTGATGCAGCGGTCTTATGGATCTTATGGAGCACATGGGGCTGTTCAAGTATGCGTAGGAACAAGCATCTCCATAGATGAAGCAGAATAACGTTTACTCTTCAATCGTGTTTCAGCCGCTGCTTTTTATCACCAGGAGGAGCGGTAAAAAAAACGGTAAGCAATGATATGAAGAAAGGAAAGGGATGAGAATGCCCAAAAACAAAATCAAAAACTCGAGTAGAGTCGGGAATTTCCACATTTTCAGAATTTTGGCAGCCTTGGCTTATGACAGAACCTGTGGAAGTTATGCAGCGAAGTCTATGCACACATGAAATAGGTCTGAAGAGAAATAAGGAAGAGAGGGTAGACAAGCGCACGAAGGCTCATCTTCTAGAATACATGGAGCAGAACAGCGTTCAATAGTCAACCTCTCTTCAAGTTTGCAGCCTTTCTCATCACAAGGTGAAGCGAGGTAGCAGAAGGAAATAATAAGCGACGGTATGGAAAAAGGAAGGAAACCGGCAACGCTCAAGAGCTACTCCTTGTTGTCCTAAACTTCTGATATATAATGAAGACTGTTTTTTCATGCATTTTTGGCCCCTTTCCTATTTCCTGTTGCTTCTCCTTTCTTTCTTCTACCCCGGTTCTCCTTTTAATAAGAAAAGCTGTGAACTTGAAGCGGGGTAGAAGAAAGAACAGAGAAGCAACGATGTGATAAAGGAAGGCCAAGAACGTATAAGAAATCAATCTTCACTATATAACAAAAGTTTTGGGCGACAAGGAGTAGCTCTTGTGTATCGCCCCTTTGCTCCTTCCAAATCGTTCCTTCTCCGTTCTTTCTTTTACCCCGCTTCTCCTTGTGAAGAGAAAGCAGCGAACTTGAAGCGGGGTTGAGTATTGAACGCTGTTTTGCTCCATGTATCCGGGAAGACGGGCCTTCGTGCGTTCGTCCATTCTCTCTTCGTTATTTTTGTTCAAACCCACTCAATTTGTTCTAAAGAAGCGCTGCGTAGTTTCGCATCTGTATTGAAATTGACATAGACAAGTCCCTAGAACACATAAAGTAGGCCTGAACAAAAATGGCAGAGAAGATGGACGAGCCTGAGAAGGTCCATCTTCCCAAATACATGAAGCAGAACAGGTTTTCTCTTCAGCTCTGTTTCAAGTTCACAGCTTTTCTCATCACTAGCAGAAGCGGGATAGAAGAGAGAGCGAAGAAGCAACGATATGGAAAAACGAAAGGGGCTGAGAACGCCCAAAATCATCAAAAGCAAGAGACAAGCCCCAATTCATGCAATTTCAGAATTACTCCTATTCCCTAATTCGTGGCAGATGGCTATGGAAACTAGCAGCCGCTTCCTGGCAAAAATGAAGTTGTCTTGAGCAAAAATCACGAGCAAAAATCAAAACCAAAATCAAGAGAGAACGTCAAACACAAGAACACTTGTTTTGTCGCATACGCAATGCAGAAATGCGCTCATTCTTTTACCTCGCTTCGAGTTTCGAAGTTCGGCTGATCAAAAATGGAAGCGGGGTGGAGAAATAAGGCCAAAATGAGAGAAATGCGAAAGAAAATCGTTGAGAACGGTCAAAATTCTCCAACTCCCGCCGTTCAAAACGGTGCGGGGCGCTGCAGCGCATGCAGCACAGTTCTGGAACTGTTCCCGCACAATTCCCGCACAGTTCCAGCACAGTGCGAGAACTGTGCGGAAACAGTTTTAGAACATGGGAATCAGTATGGAGAAGCAATAGTAAGTAATTCTACTCTCTCATGAACATATCACTAAGCATGTGCATTTTTGTGATCTTACCGAGGAAGACATACGATTTCTAAAAGATGACTTCATTATTACAAATAACAGTATACCTATGATATATTGTTTACCTAAATTACATAAAACACCAATTAAATTTAGATTTATTACTGGAGCTACACATAGTAGTATCAAGCCATTATCTATTGTTAACAAATATTCTCACTTTTGTCAAAATTCATTTTAGAAGATACGTGCAATCAATTAAAACTCATAATAGAAATTTCATAGGTTATTGGTCAATAGATGATATAAATATTAGTAATAAACTTAGAAACATTAGTATAAATAATCCCAAGCTGTATTTAGCAGACTTTACTAACATGTTTACTAATCTATCCCATAATATGATCAAAAATAATACCAAAGAAATATTGAAAATTATGTTTTAAAAACGCAAACAAGACATATATAGCCTATAATGGATATAATAAAGTTTACTACACGGATAATACTTGCAATACTAGTTCGTATACGGTACTACAAAATAGCTAATATACTATATTTAATAGATTATTTACTTGACAACAGCTTTACCAAACTGTGTAATATACTTTTCAAACAAAAAAATAGGAGTTCCTCAAGGAGGTATTTGCAGTCCTTTACTTGCCGATCTTACCTTAGCATGGTATGAATACAGATTTTGAAAACAAGCAAATATAAATTTCAAAATTTTTCCTTTTAGATATATGGATGATATACTAATCATTTATAATTCTGCTATTAATATTCATAACATCTTAGAAGAAGTATTAGGTCGTTCCGAAAGTAATGTCGTTTTTTTCAAACGTATGCCACATCTCGTGTAACAAAGATATGTAAGAGATTCTGAAAGCATTTGATGCAGCATTTCATTCTCTTTCTAAAGGTTATGAAGTTGTTGCAATACATTCAATGAGCTTACAGAAAAGAGTCAAAATCTGCGACCTATGCTTTTTGAGATAGCCAGGTTTCACAATTTTTCTAAAATTTTATAACAAACATCAGAAGGAGTCCAAGTGATGGATGGATGGAGCAAACCCTACAGAAAACAGCACAACTTTTTTCCACATTTCAGAGCTCGTCATAATTGTACAGATTTTTTGATGGAACCACCGAATTTTAGCAGGGTCGTCTCAGACACAAGTGCATCAAACGCCAACAAGTCTTCGGATTTTGAAACTTACAAAGATGGATTATGGTTTGGCAACAATTTTACAAACCAAACGAGCATTCACCGCTTCGGTTTAGTAACTTTCGGAAATTTCGGGTACACCTTGGGGTGCCTTGGAAAAGTTGAATTATGATGATTTTATTCCGGAAAACTTGATGAATCGGAAACAAAAAACAACCGCTAGAAAGAGGAGAAAAAGCTGCATCGAATGACAACCGAGTCGCTTGCCGGTTGTTGTTCTGTGAGGTTTGATTTGACTAAATATGAAATTTGATGGCATTGAGAAATTGGTTGTAGAAACTCTGAGAAGCAAGCTAAGGGAAAGAAAAAATTAATCTGTATTCTATAGTGCTTGCTCTATCTACCTGCCATATGTACTTTTTCGGAGACTTGGTACAAAAATTTAGAAAAATAGCCGAACTTGACCATGGCAAAAAGCATGAGTTGCAGATTTTGGTAATTTTTCGAGAGCTCACCAAACATTATGCAGTGAAATTAGAGCCATTAGAAAGAGGATGAAATGCTGCATCGAATGACAACCGAGTCGCTTGCCGGTTGTTGTTCTGTGAGGTTTGATTTGACTAAATATGAAATTTGATGGCATTGAGAAATTGGTTGTAGAAACTCTGAGAAGCAAGCTAAGGGAAAGAAAAAATTAATCTGTATTCTATAGTGCTTGCTCTATCTACCTGCCCTATGTACTTTTTCGGAGACTTGGTACAAAAATTTAGAAAAATAGCCGAACTTGACCATGGCAAAAAGCATGAGTTGCAGATTTTGGTAATTTTTTGAGAGCTCACCAAACATTATGCAGTGAAATTAAAGCCATTAGAAAGAGGATGAAATGCTGCATCGAATGCTCCTAAGATCTCTTAGGAATGTTGATTCCACGAATAGTGGCATTCATTCGAAAAAAGCGACATTACTTTCGGAACGACCTAATATATGATCATCAACTACATCTTGAGTCAACACATATTGATGATTATCACTGTAATTACTTGGATCTACACATTAGCATAAATAATGAACATATTAGTACTAAAATGTATAATAAAACAGATAATTTTAATTTTCC